ACATTTGAGCGCTCTTTGTGTTGTTCTCTATCTACACTAGCTTAAACTATTTTGGTCGGCCGTTGGTGAGGACAACATGTTTGGTTTTCAACGCGAACAAATTTTTTTGACAGTCAAATGTTCATGCAATATTGAATGTATGCTGGTCCCCTTGAAGCTTAAGGTTGTCTCGGACCAGCATACATTCAATATTGCATGAACATTTGACTGTCAAAAAAATTTGTTCGCGTTGAAAACCAAACATGTTGTCCTCACCAACGGCCGACCAAAATAGTTTAAGCTAGTGTAAACAACACAAAGAGCGCTCAAATGTCAAAATGTTCTGAGTACGTATAACCTCAAAAAGGTCAAACTTTACGACAGAGCTGTCAGCTGCCAGATTGCAACGCTGGGGTTGCCGAAATATAAAAGGCAGCCCTCGTATTCGCGAGGATGCGCTCCATTGCGAGCCCGCGCTGTTTTCAGATTGCCGCGCGCGCGACGTCGGGTTCTAAAGGCCATCTCCCATTACGAGCACTGTGCTGCACCATATCCAGCACATGATACTCAGAACGTTTCGCTTGATTTCGACAATCCCCTACGTCACAAATTTGGGGAAACACGAGATGGAAATCATACAATTCCTGATTGATAAAGGATGACAGATGAAGCTATGGCCGTTGATCAGTCCTTTCTAAGGATGCGGTACCTATTCTACTTCCACCTCGCAGTGGCTTCTTGAATGGATTTAATTATAAGTTCAGTTTGTCAGGGTGCATACAGTGCCCCGAAAATTGCGTGTGGGATTAACTGAGTTGGTCGTAAATGCACACAACGGGGCGCGAGACTACGGAGCGTGGCCCACATATTTTTGATGTGGGATACTGTAAGCTGCGCGCGAGCGGGTACCTGCCGGGGTTGGGAGGGGCTGAAAGTAAGTTTTTATTGTACTCTGACAACAATGCTACCGAATAGCCTACTCAAGAGTGGTTTATCCAGATGGGAATCGATTCGAAATTTGGCCCCCAGAACTTTCGCACGGTATGTGGACCAGCTTACCAATACATAACGTACTCTTCGGAATTGATAGTTATTGAATACCAAAATTTAGTGAATACTGAAAAGATCAAAAGGAGAGGCACTTACCCTTGATAGCTCTCGTTTCAAAGGAGTTGTTGTTGCAGGGAACACCAGGCCGATCATTCCCAGAGTTTCATTGATATGATTGACGACCTGAAAGCAGACATCAATGAATGGTACGTACGACAACCTTTTATTAGGTCACCCCATTCAAAAATGTGGAGACATATAAAGAAATGGCAGGAAAGCAAGGGAGCGGGCTACTATACCATTTGGAAGCTAGTACCTTTCGCTATGTGTCTATGAAATTTGACAAATTTAGCCACAGAAGAAGCTTTCGAGAAATTGAAAACAAGTCTGAGCGGTCAAAATAAGCGCCAGATTTTCAAATCAGGCGTCCTAAGAGGAAATTGCGGTGCTGAAATTTGTGACTTGTGCCGGACGAGCAGTTGCGTGTAACGGTGTTCTCGAAATGCAAGTTGGAAGATTTAGTCCAGGAGCACGATGAAGGAATAAAGAAAAAAATTGTTGTCGTGGATGGTCCCCTTCATTCTGCACAAGAACCCTCTTTGGTTGCCCAGGCCTTAAATGACCCCTAGTTAAGCTGTCAACTTTATGAGTTCTTTCTCTTCTTCTCCCTAGCGTTAGTCCCGCGCCGTCGCAGGGTCCGCTGATCTTGTTAGACGTCGCCACTTGTTCCGATCCACTGCATCTTCTGCTGTGGCTTTCACTTCAGTGAGGTCCCTCTTGATGACGTCCCTCCACCTTTTCTTCGGGGCTCCTCGTGGTCGCTTGCCCTCTACCTCGAGTTCCAATGCCTTCCTTATTGGGTGGTCTTCAGGCCTCCTCAGTACATGACCGTACCATCGCAGTCGCTGCTCTCGTGCCTTCAGCTGGATAGGAGCCGTCTGTGTGACTGCTCTGACGTCCTCGTTTCTGACTCTGTCGAGTCGTGTCCAGCCGCAGGCCCATCTCAGCATCCTCATTTCAGCTGAGTGGAGCTGCCTTTCATGGTTCTTGCAGATAGGCCAGCACTCACTGCCGTAGAGCATTGTAGGCCTTACCACAGCCCGGTACACCTTGCCCTTGAGTGTTCTCGAGCATCGCCGGTCACAGGATGCCAGTGGACTCCCTCCATTTCATCCAGGCTGCGTTGATTCGGGCCGTCACCGCCTGGTCCACGCTGCCATCAGCTGCTAGGTTGCTCCCCAGGTACTGGAAATCCTCGACCCTTTCGATGCTCTCGCCATGGCGATCTACGATGACTTCGGCGCACTCTTCGGAGCTTAGGAACTTGGTCTTCTTTACGTTCAGCCGGAGTCCATTCGCAGCGAGCACATCCTGCCACCGCTGCACCTTGTCCTGAAGTTCCTCCCTGCTGTCCGCTATCAGGGCGATGTCGTCAGCATAGAGGATGGTTTTCAGTGGTCCCTCCATGAGTTCTTTTGCCATGACATCTAGAGTCAGGAGGAAGAGGAACGGGCTGAGGGCTGACCTTGGGTGTACCCCAACCGTAATGTTTACCTCCTTTGTCAAGCCGTGAGGGGTGCGTACAGCTGCTTTAGCCCCATCGTACATGTCCTTCACTATGGAGATGAGGTGTTCCGGAACGTTACGTTCTCTGAGCGCTCTCCAGAGTACAGGCCTTGGCAGGCGGTCGAATGCCTTCTCAAGGTCCAGGAAGGCTAGGTAGCAGGGTCGCCGCTTCTCTCGGTACTTCTCCATCAGCTGTCTGGCGATGAAGATGGCATCGGTGGTGGACCTCTCGGGCATGAAGCCGAACTGTTCCTGCGAGATCGAGACAAGTTCCCTTAGCCTTGTGTTGACCAGGCGCTCGTACAGCTTCATGGTATGGGGAGTCAACTTGATGCCGCGGTAGTTGGAGCACTCCGTCGCGTCCCCTTTCTGTTTGAAGAATGGAACGCATAGTGCCGCCTGCTCCTCCACGCATTCGGCATCCTTCCTTCAGCTGTTACGTTGTTTAGGAAGTGCGTGAGCCAACTCACCCCATGCTCTCCGAGGGCCTTCCATGCCTCTATCGGTACCCCGTCTGGACCCACTGCTTTCCCAGCTTTCATTCTCCCTAGCTCCCGGCGAACTTCATCCTTCGTCCAGGGAGTGATGGGACCTGCCGTCGCCTCTCTATCTGTGGGCTATCCTTGCGAGGGAATTCTTCGTTCAGAAGTCCCTCGAAGTATTCTTCCCACCTCTTCCTGACTTCGGCTGGTTTCCTGAGAATGGCCCCGTTGCTGCTCTTTACAGTCTTTACGACCCTGATGTCCTGAGCTGCGCGATGCCGAGCTTTAGCCAGGCGGAAGACGAACTTGTCCCCTTCTCGGCCTTCCAGCTTGTCGTACAGGGCGTCCATTTCCGTATTCTTGGCCTTAGCAACGGCCGCCTTAGCGAGTCGCTTGCAGCTCTTGTAGGCAGCGTAGTCTTCTGGGCTCCGTGTCTTTTGCCAGCGTTTGTATGCTTCCTTCTTCTGCTTGACGATCCTCTGGACTTCCTCGTTCCAGAACCAGGCTGCCTTGTCTCCTCTGATACCACCTCGCGTCTCTCCCAGGACCTCCCTTGCACACTGTAGGATGACCTCTGCTGCGTAGGTCCAGGTGTCCTGGACTGGCCCATGTGGGTCTGGGAGCCCAGCCTCCAGTATTCTTCGGCCGAGGCTATCCTTTTCTACCCTGCCCATTTTCCACCACCGAATTCTTCGCTCTGCTCTCACCCTTGTCTTCTTGGGGAGGTCTATGGCGATGTCTGCCAGGAGAGGCCTGTGCTGAGGGCCCAGCTCTTCCCCAGGCAGTACCTTGATATCCTTGATGGTTTTGAGAGACGATCTTCTTACCAGGACATGGTCGATTTCCGTTTGTCTCCCTCCACTGCTGTAGGTTACCTTTTGGGTCCTCCTTTTCGCGAAGAAGGTGCTGCAGATTGCTAAGTCGTGGGCTGTTGCTAGGTCAAGGATTCGTCCTCCCTCAGCGTTCTTTGTCCCTATTCCTTGACCTCCGTGCACCCTTTCTAGACCCCTTCTGTCCCTCCCAACATGGCCATTCAGATCTCCAGCTATGGTGAGATAGTCCTCTTCCGGAACCGATCTTATGGCCTCGTCCAGGGTCAGGTAGAACTCATCCTTTTCGGCTTCAGAGCAACCGGATTGTGGTGCGTACACGGTCAGTACTGTCCAGTACCCCTCCTTTCGTGTCCATTCTCACTCCCATGATCCGGTCACTGATCCTGTTCACAGTGGAGACGCAGTCCTTGAGGGATTCTGCCACCGCTATGGCAACGCCATTCCGTTTGGTGTCTGCTCCATTGTAGAAGAGTTTGACGCCTTCTCCAATCTCGCGGGCCTTCGCACCCTTCCATCGCGTTTCCTGCAGGCATAGGACTTGGATATTCCTGCGTCTCATGAGGTCGGCAACCTCACGAGACTTCCCGGTAAGCGACCCCACGTTCAGGGTCCAATTCGAACTAGCTTCTTTGGCCGAGGTCGTTCACCCCTCGGTAGCCCTCGCATACTGACCACAGAACTCGGGCGAGGGTTCTGCGCGCCACTTCCGGGTGACGTCCTAGCTTTTACACTGATTCTATTGCGACTTGTCATGGTTGTTGTGACGGGTTCCTCCATCAGCCGGCCTGTCAACCTGGGCCTGACGCTGGTATCGTCCCCATTTTTGCAATTTTTGCAAGCAGGTTTGTGCCTCGGCAGGGAATCGATCGAACTCCGTGGCCTCAGAGTGAGATTATGAGTCTACACTCTTAACCACTCGGCTATCCCTGCCTGTCAACTTAATGAGTTATTTGGGAGAAAGACAAAATAAAAATAAAATCAGTCCAGGTTATGAAAAACACCAAATGAAACGAAATAATTTTACATGCACATGGCACAGCATGAAGTACACCGTGCTGAAAGGCAAACTCAGTCAACTATTTCACCAAAATCAGTCTAGATATAAAAAAGAAGTAGGAAGGAAAATAACCTTTTCGGCATCTTTGTATCCAGATTGTGCCCAAAGAGCCAGCTGATGGATTGCAAGCTCAACTGTGACCATTGATTCCGTTAGTAATCGAGTGATGTCCTCGCGTGGAGGGACACGATCGACAAGAAATTGAACAATCGTAGCAAAACTCCACTATAAATTCAAGAAGGAGACCACTCATAAATGGCAAAAGAAACAAACAGAGAATTACCAAGTACGAACAACGAGAACTTACCAGAACGGGAATGATGTTTATTCCTCGCATGATATAACTTGGAATAATGAATTCTACATGCTCTTGGAAGCCAGCTCCCTGGAAAAACATGGATTGATTATTGATACAATCACAGTCGATACAAGTCTACAAAACGTTCTGTGAACGGCACCACCGTCCATCGAGTTCGTTAGTAAAAAAAGAGGATTCGCAGATTTACCTGAACCTTTCCAATTTCAGCGTAAATTCGTGCGTACAAATGTAGCACAGCCCTCACCATTTTCAGCAGCCTTATATTCATTTCCACAGCTTTAGGTGAACTGCAAAATAAAAGCTCAGCGACATCAGGTAAGCTGAATTGGCATGGCCACAAAGAGGCTTCAGAAAAAACGCTTAAAATCAAAAAAAAGTGAACATTGACGGGAAATTGGAAAATTGTTCGCAGTTAAATAAAACTGAACGTAGATCTGGAAAAGGATCACACAGTTGGTTTGGTTCATAGGTGATCCGGTTCTTTGTTACACAAAACTTTCGGGTGAAAATGGAAGTTGCCCGAAGTTCTGTTCTCTTTCATGAATAATTTCCTGCTCAAATGGGATGTGGCAAAATCTCTATTCTCTCTTGATTTTTGCCAATAAGGCTCATCAAACTCTGAACTAGCCGCTCAAATTGTGGAAGTGACTTAAAGCCTGTGACATCGAACAGAGAATCGCCTTCATAACGCCCCTGTAGGAACAAGGCTGAACTACGCTTCTACGAAGATGAAGAAAGGGTGTGGTCGCACGAACTCTTGTTAGTGCCAACTCCTTTCTTAATCACTTCCACTCCCACCATTCGAAATGTAAATTAGTATCGAACATTCGCATCATCAGGTACAGTCAAAAGTGAGAGTAGGGCGTTGCCACCATGGACAGTGGGCGGAGTCGCTACCTGCGGGCAGGAGGTGCTTCTTACGAATTTTCGAGCCATGAAAGTAGAAAATCCTCGATGCTTGCAGGGAAGACTAGTGTCCAAAGAAGGCCCCTGTACATCAAACTAACGTGGGGTGTTCTCAAGACGGGTAGATCTTTAGCGGGAACGACAACTTACAGATCCCGTGCGTTTAGTTTTTCAACCTATCCCATCAAGTGAACGTAATGCACAGTGAGAATGTGATTTTTTTTCACGACCGCTATTGGTGTCTCCATTCTCAGACATCTGACGGGTTGTCTGAAGGGCGAACAGCAATCATGAGGGGAAAAAACATGCAAAAGGGACAAAAAGTAGTTGCTACTAAGATAAGAAAGCTCCCGAGCGTTGTACTACGTGCGTCTCTATATCCCAGAAAATAGGGTAATAGACATTTTTCTCGACGTGCCCTCATTTAAAGATAGCTCCCATTATCAGACAACTTCTAAGTTCTGCTGTCTCTGCGTAGTCATCAACAAGTAAAAGTGGAAGCAATCAACGTAAAAATATGAAACTCACAGTCGTGGCAAGTTGGCCGCATTGTTGTGATTCATGTCGCGAGCAACTTGACTAACAACACTCCACAGAGTCTTCACCAGGTCATATAAATGAGAAGCATGCTGAAATGAATTGAATCGGCTACTAGTCTCGAAAAAAAATTGTCAAAAGCTGGCGGATAGATCACCTCGAAAAGGAGAACGTAATGATCAGCATATGGTACCGACAAGAACTCCTCAAGCTCATCGCGTGCGCATCTCAGTATTCCCCTTAACGAAACTGGCTAAGACGAATATCTTCAACACTACCATAACAAAGAACATGCAGGTCAAAAAGGTTTTATTCTTCCCGATACACTTACTCAGATTCTGCATTCATCAGAGCACGTACAATACCAAATCGCATTGCTTTTGCAGAGGAGCGGAATCCCATTGTGTATAAAAAGTCAGGCAAACACCGTAATGGCCGAGATCGTTCAGGGCATGAAATGTTATCGGTCTCGTCATAAAAACTGCTTATAACCTGAAAATTATCTCATCAGTACTTAGTGCCACAGGAAAGTTCAGGAAATGTAGAAATCGATACCTTGTTATATAATTCTTTGGCATCTACGGTTCCGCTTGCTTCTGCCCTCCGCACGAATCTAAAACAGATCGCATTGATAGAAACAGACAACCTACCTACTAGACAGTAACTCACGCGATGAACATCGGTTTGAGGACGTTTCGATACATTAGTTTCGACTGGTTATCTATGACACTTTCAGGAGTAACCGTGGGTGGATAAGTGGTAGAATTGAATTGCAGAAGTGAGTACAACTAAAAAGAGCTACGAACTGATAAGGAGGGAAAAACGAAAAAAAAAGAAGCAACATGATATATCACCTTTCCTTTTTCTTGTTCGAATGCTGCCTCGGTGAACCACGGATCACAGAAACTTGCCAAAGGTATAGATAGGGCCTCTGGATCTGCTAACGCCTGAAACACCTTCCCTCTCACATATACACTTTGTAAAAAACTTGGCAGAAACGCTACCCTCATACAAAGCTCGTCTCGATAAGTTAAACTTGAAAACTTTATTTTGCAGAAGAGTTCAGGCTGATTTGATTCTGGCGTACAAAATCCTCAGAGGAGAGACTTGCTTGCGGGCCTCCAATTACTGGAAGTTCAGGCCCATACATGGCCGATGCGGTGGTTCTTTCAGTATTGCTCCCAAGATAGCTTGTCTCAGGAGATCTAGTGGCGAACATGACTTTTTTGCAGGACGTCCAAGTGGTTGGATCGACTCCCCCTTGATCTTCTTTCCAGTACGACTTCGGCGCAGTTCAAGAGTGCTCTGACCAAGATGGATTTTATGCATATTATAGGCCTTGAAGATGTGCTTTAGCTGTCGGCACGCAAGCTCGTGCCCTGTACAATGATTGTCCTGTCTTGTGCATTTATATTGTCTCGGCTGCCCCTTCTTACTGTCTCCTTGATGTACCCCCTCAGGCTTACCAGCACAGAAGTGACACTACAAAATCCTGCCATGAAGGATCAATACTAAGAAATGGCCATATCCCCTGTTAGTGGCTGAGTATAAAAAAGTCTCCCTTCGACTCAACGCACACCTGTGGTCTGGATGTATGCTCAACTAACTTGCCGTTTCCACGAGGGAAGTCGGTGTACCCGTGTGTCGGAGTCTCGGCAAGTTCCTATGACCCCGTAAGTGGCGACTGGGCATCTTAGCCGACAGATGCAGTGGGCGATACATCCGGGCTTGTGGTATGCGATGCCTCTGATACTTCATATATGATATGCGATGCTCCTGATGCTTCTTATATAATACAAATAACCTTGGTCCTTTAAGCACCTACACACGAAACAGCGAAGTGGCCCTTCTTGGCTAGCAAGCCTCTTAATCATCTTGCTTTTTCATTTGGTTTGTTAAGTTCAGTGTTGTCAGACCATTTGTTTCCTAAGTTATCCCTATTAAGTTGTGCCACTTTATTTTATTTTAGTACATTTTTTTTCTTTCCATTTCTTCTCTTAGTATATTGCCGTGTTTCTCTTACCGTGTTCGCTATCAGTTTACTGACTGTGGCGCGTCCATTGGGCGCAAAATAAATAAATAAATAAATTCAAAGCAAAGATATGAGAGTACCACTATCACTTCAGATATCGATTTTTTCCGAAAATAAGCTTTGATCTACAGGTGTCAAAAGAGGCAATACCGCCGGCTCTTTAGGCACTGTTCACAGTCTGCGGCCCAGCGTTTCTCTAGAAAGAAGCGGTTCGGCGAAAAGCTTTCGATACGTATCGATTGGCGGTTGGGCGAAGAGTCTGGCGGTTGGGCGAAAGTTTTGATACGTATCGACGGGCGTTTCGCCGGAGCGGTTGGGCAAAAAACGCTGGCGAAAGGCCGAACGAAACGGCGAAACGCGCCGGCGAAAAATCGGACGCCCGGCGCAACGAGGTAAGACGCATTGCAGGTCAACTGATGGAGGAAATTTTCCAAGTGTTCAATTATTCTTGCTTCATCGTCGTTGCTTAGTTGGACTAAGGTGAAAAAAGGTGCTGCAGCTTGCAAACGAATTAAACTCAAAAACTCAAGTGTAGTTGTTTTGCATTCCTACCAAAACAATCGAAAAAAAGACTGGGAATGTTGGAATTCTGCTTCTATCGACTTTTGCCAGTGCGGCTGGCGATTCTCCGATCGATACGCATTCATTTCCTTTCCCCAAACGCCTGTCATGTTGGCGTTTCTCCGGTGTCAGATCGATACGCATTTATTGCTTTTCGCCCAACCGCCGAACCGCGGCGGTTCGGCGAAACGAGCGGTTGGCGATTCTCCGATCAATCCGTATTTTTTGCTTTTCGCCCAACCGCCGTTTCGTCAGGGTCGCAGACTGTGAACAATGCCTAAGCTGGATCGAGTTTTGTACAAATCTCAAAACACTCCTCAGTATTACTGCCACCACGCCGAGATTGATGAAGGTAAGACCGACTGGGCATTCTGATAACAAGAGCGCTGGCATAGCACTGGTTCCTTTTTGCAACTCATATGAAAAAAAACTGCAAATTCAAGGGTTTCCATGAAGACACCATTGGTGTCTCTTGCGTCTCTTTGAAATCGGAACCGCACCCTATAGGTTGGTGGATGAAATCCCTATTATGGCCGTTTTTTCAAAATTCAAATCCTCCTTGGTAAAGGATATTTAGTCAGATCCCCGAGGAGAAAATATGGTCAAGCGAGCATGATACCTGCCAAAAAAGGAAAGCAGATAATTAATGAAATATTCTGAATAATCCTACAAACATACCCTTTCCAAAGGTGTTCCGCTGAGCAATTCATCCTCATTAGAAATTGGAGGGAGAGTGCAGAACTGGTTTTCGATAGGCTTCATGTGGAGACTCATAAGTTTCAGCATTTCCTTTCGTGTCCTCATTCTGGGTACAGCGATAACGTTCAATCTCCGATTCCAGTGCTGTGTTTTCGTGCTCCACCATTTCTCGGATATCGTTCGCAAGGAATGACGAAGTTGGGCACTCATCTGAAATTGCGAGTTATATTAGAAAGGGAGGGAGATAGAGATAGAGAGATAGAGAGGGAGAGTGAGAGAGAGAGAAGAGAGGCAACAGAATGTTATATTAGGAAAAACATACCAGAGAAGAGCCACGGTTCTGCTGCAGAACTGACATACAGGAGGAAATACGCCGAAGTAGTTCGAATACCACCGACTGCTTCCGCCTCTATATCGCTCCATACAGCGCTTTCAACTCTTTGATCGTTAAACTTCTCCCATTGGGAGTCGTCGTTGCCTGTAAACGTATATTATCCTTTGAAACGGGATGCCAGCACATATACAGACCAACCTTTTCTGACGTATGCCCAGTAATGGCCTACACTTGCTTGACCTTGATGTATGGCCACCGCGTGAAGCCGATATCCATGCTGCTTCAAATCATCTCGTTCGTAGATTTCATCGATGGATTTTATCAATTCTGCCTCATGATCACATAGCTCTGCAAATGCAATTGATCAGAATGAAAAAGTGAGAGCATTTTCTTAATTGAATGGCAATACCCACTTTTATCTTAGTTCTAGTCTGCCCTACAGGTTTATCCGGTGGAAGTTTCGCTGATTCAATCCATGATGCATGATAACGCCCCCTATTCGCTTTACATTACAGTTTTTACGTTCAACTATTATCAGGAGATGATACAGCACGTACAGGAGTCACTTAGTAAGATTAGGGGGTGTTAACCGATAGCTCTTCCGTCCAAAAGATGCAACAATGGTGAGTTGATTCCAGAGTTCTTGAATTTCTGACCAGCTCACCGGCTTACCATAGAAAATGTGTGAGTGCTGTAAGGCTACCGCATCAAAACAGTCAAGCTGAAAAAGTAAAAGGTGGCTTTAGCGGCGGAACGGGGCGCGCACTCGTCCGGGAAGCGTCTGAGCTGCGGGTACAAGTCTCACAATGGGTCAAGAATTTTGTCCTTAACCCACGGTCAGTTTCTCGTGAACTTGCGGAGCGCAAACTGCGGTGGTAAACAGCAGCTATCAAAATAAAAGGCTTGGATTATGCATTTCGTGCCTAGAGAGGTCGAAAGTTAAAAAGATGATTGCTGATTGCGAAGAACAGAAAAGCTGAATTGTTATGAAATGGACAGTCGCCCTGCATTAACCCTAATGGTAGCCTGTGATTGACTTCCAAGAAGAAAAATTAGCAGGAAAAACCTAAAAATTCCAAGTAGGCAGCTTATCCTTCGCAGCTAATAAGTGGACTAGTTCTCCCGATGCATGCTTGTTTGCGCACCAAAGCGAATCATTTTCGCCTTCCATCTGGCACAAAAGAACTCTTACTTTTGCCACGTGTAATCCACCTAACAGCAGTGGGGGGGGGCGGGGGAAACGAAAAAACCATGTTGGTTAAAAAGTTGATTCGCGACAAGAAATAGCTCTTGTTTTGGTGGGCAGGACAACTAGTGGGGCGTCAGCACTGCCACCTTCGCTACTTATTGTGAAGCTGCGAAAGTAGGATAATCGTAGAGACTGAGGACCAGACTACTTGTTACAAGAAAGGATGCCAACGAATTGCTAGCGCGGGACTGTTTTTGAACTGAACACGTAACCACTTTCAGACCTCTGAAGACGACCAACCAGTCGAAATGTTTGGCCTTTCAACAATAAAAGTTCCACCAATCAACCTTGTAAGGTACACTGGAACTCTTTGCAGTAGGACTAACGCATATCAAAGTTAATATGCCGAGGTTGAAAGGAAACAGAATTTGGAAAACGCTTACGTTTATGCTTTTCTTCTAGACCTTTTATTGCCTTCTCCAGCTCTGGCACAAACGTAGCAAGCTGCTCCGAGTTCGCCGCAGTAGGGGTTACTGAATATGAATGAGACTGCTTCAAAATAGTTCGTCAACACCAATGTTCCTTACCTGCAACTTTTTCCTCGACGAATGATTGCGTCTTGTTCGCGTTCACTGGGCCTGGCAATGCTATGACAGCCGCACCTTCGTCCATTTTCTCACTAGGTACGCTAAAACAGTCGAAAATAAACAAGGCCAGAGACAGCATGTAAAAAGGACCTACGTTTTTGCTTGGCCTCCTTTAGCAAACATGAGCGCAGCATTGAGAATACTAACAAGCTTCTCAGTACGGTCGCCTATTGGGAATTCATCCAAGCTATAAATACGACATTTCTTTCTCTAAAGCCAATCGTTGTGAAGCTTACCCTTTGAGTTCGGCACGAACATTGGACAATTCGTTTCGAAGCTGGTTTCTTGTCTCCCTTATTTTGCTGACATAGTCGTAGTTACTGCAAAAAATAAGATTCAAACGTACAACCAGTAAACACGTACGGCTCCGAAAGTGGAATGGAAGAGGGATTTTCACGGAGACGATAAAATCTTCGTAGTTTTAGGCAGTGGTCAAGCTTCGCGACACGGCGTCGACGCACTGCAACGCGCATCAATGCGTTACGGTTGTAACAGCACTCCAGTCGTACAGATGCGAACATGGCCGTGCGCACTGTCTAATCAGTCGTGGTATCGACTGGCACTGGCCTGAGGCTTTAACTGAGTATGGAAACGGGAGAGGGTAAGACTGTGTAAGGGCATAGCCTGCCCTCCTGCCATCCTATACTTTCTCGAAATATAAGCAGTCAGCGCCATCGATTCTCGTCTGCGACTGTGTTCGCGTCTCGGAAAAAGAAATTTCCCGGTTGTTACTTTTTCGCGTTTCACATCGACTAAACCCTTTCTCCCCCCGCTTGAGGGAAAACTTTGGGTGGGGAACTGGTAGGAAACTGGGAAATTGTAGGAAAGTGGTAGGTAGGTGTTGGTAAGGGGAGGGTCGTACCGAGACCTTTTTTCGAGGGTGGGGGGCGTCGTGCTGA